GACTTGACCTCTCTTTTACATATTTTTAATCTTATTTGTAGCAATTGAATGCACATACATACATTGGAAAAACGAAATAGTGGTAAAAGGATCATGGGAGAAAGTGGCAACCCCTTCCCGCTCCGCTCCGTGCCTGTCTCCTCTCAGCCACTCTCCATTCATACAGATACTTTCCCCTGGTGTTTATGCTAATTTAGCTAAATTAAATTCTTCTCTTTGTGTTTCTTAAATAAACATCCTCTGATTTCTGTCTTACCCCAGGCCCTCTTCTCCTGATTCTGTTCCCTCCAGCATAATGACATCCCACTTTTCAGTAAACAGGGTTCACGTTATAATAAGCACGCACATGTTGTTAACAGACTCTGCCTTCTTTTATGAACAACCCGTTATTTTTCCTGCCGACAATATTTGCCTCTTTTGTTTCATTTGCTTGGATTTCCACATAATGATTATTGTCTTTTTCTAAATGTTCCACCATCTCAACAAACTATCAATATTTTCCCTGTTCTCAATCACAAGACTCCCCTGGACACAGCCCTCCCAGAGCCTTCTGCTGCCCCTGGTCTTCCAGTGCTGGGGCTCGAGCTCTCTGTTGCCTGTGTCGGAGTGTGCCTGCTTCCCAAGCACGCCGCCCTCCTCCTGGGTTACACTCTGGCTTTGGCTGAGTGGCTGGAAAGGCAATGCTGTCCAGCACTGCTTAACTGAACATGTCTTTATTATACCCTTACATTTGAATGATATAGTTGGCTGGTGATAGAATTCTGGCTGGGAAAAAAATTTTCCTTCAAAAATGGTAAGGCATTGTGCCGTGATTTTATTCCTGTTTGGGGATGTCTGGTGATGTTGTGATTTCCTATTCCGTGACATATTTTTGTTGTTGTTGTTTCCACTGGGAGCTTGTAGAGCTTATCTGTGCCCCTTCTGTCTCAAGTGTGTGCCTTGTTGGGCTTCTCTCTTCACTCATTTTGCTTGGTGTTTGGTGGGGCTTTGCATCGTGAAGACTCACATCTTCCAGTTCTAAAAAACCTCCTTGAATTACTTGTTGATCATTTCTTCCACTTCATTGTTTCTTCTATCTCTTTCTGGAGCTTCTTTTAATTCTATATTGAACCTTCTGATTTGATCTTCTGAGTTTATCTTCTTTCCCTTTTATGAGAGATTATTTTGACTTTACATTCCAACTCTGCCACTACTTTTTAAAATTTGGTTATATCCCGTCTTTAATCTCCAACATTTTTTCCTTTTCTCTAGTCATTAGTTTTGTTTCATAGGTATAATTTCTTCTCTTATCTGTGCAAGGATACTTTTCTCTCTCTCTCTCTCTCTCTCTCTCTCTCTCTCTCTCTTTCTCTTTCACTCACACACACACACAGGCAAACACCTGTATAAATTCTACCTGTCCTTCTAGGTTTAGTTCAAAATATACATCTTGTATGAATCCTATACAATCATCCATCTCTCTCTTCACTGGACATTAATACTCTAGCATTTGTTATATTCCAAGCCATCTAACATGTAATTATATTTATGCTTGTACTAATTCCTATTGAGAGATCGGTCTTATCTCTCTAATCGTACCACAGTCTTCTTAAGAGCAGGGACTACTCTTGGAAATTAAGCTACTAATTTTCAAAATCTAATAGAAGAATTGGAATATGAAGTCAAGATAATTTCCCACAAAATAAAAGAGAAAAAGAGAGTGAAGGGGGAAAAATATATAAAACTAGAAGATCACATCAGAAGGTCTGATATTGAACTAAAGGAAATTCCAGAAAGAAAAAAGAGGAAAAAAACAAAGTGGAGAAAATTGCAAAAAAAAAAAATAATAATTAATTAATTGGTAATGATAATTTAAGGTGGTTTCCTCATTTTAAAAAAAGCTTACTTAGCTTAAAAACTTGAATTTTTCTCTATCAGCCACAATTTCTTGTCTAGAATTCAGTACAATAAATGCTGAAAAAGTGTTTGTTGACTTGGATTAGATGAAAAGCCGTCTTAACCCCACTAAGACAGGCCATCCCCACTGTGATTCTACGTAGACTACCAAGAACCATAAGTATTTGTCAAATAACATAAGGGCAGAACTTACATATTTTTACAATTGTTCTATCTTTTGCCATATCTTTCTTTTTTTTTTTTTTTTTTTGAGACAGAGCCTCAAGCTGTCCCCCTGGGTAGAGTGCCGTGGCACCACAGCTCACAGCAACCTCCAACTCCTGGGCTCAAGCGAGTCTCCTGCCTCTGCCTCCCAAGTAGCTAGGACCACAGGTGCCCGCCACAATGCCCGGCTATTTTTTGGTTGCAGCTGTCATTGTTGTTTGGCAGGTCCAGGCTGGGGATTCGAACCCACCACCTTAGGTGTACGTGGCTGGTGCCTTAGCCGGTTGAGCTATAGGCACTGAGCCTGCCATATCTTTCCATGCATAATTCAATAGTGGCATTTCAGTGCTTGTTTTTATTGGGTCTCCCTTGAAGCTTAACCCCTTAGATTTCATAGAAAAACATAACCTTCTTTTCTTGCTCGTATTTCATTGGTTTATGAACTATTGGATTGAAAAATATAATTGAAATAACTAGAAGCAATTGGCCCAGGAAGGATTAGAAACAAACACATCTAAATCTTGGTTGGCACATACCTTAATGGGTAGGAAATAATGGCTTGGGTGTGCCTGATGGTAACGTCCAGCCTGGAGCCTTTGGTCTGCCATGGGCATCAGTGAACATAAAGACTGAGGGTGTTAGTCCACCCAGTCAGCTTGGTGGAAGTGAGCGGAGAAAGCATCTACTGCACTCTATTCATATGCCAAGAAGAGGGCTTGGGCAGAAAGAGGTTTGTGTCCATCATATTTCTTGCAATCAAGGGCACATATGGGCAAGCCAGCTGATGCAGCATAGGGTACAGTCTTTGGTTGTAAAACAACACAAGCTCACTGGCCCAGGGAGCCAATCATCTTGGTCTCATTAGTACCAAGATCCACCAGCCTCAGCTGTGATCCTCTGGCCATGAGTTGTGAAAGAGCCAACAGAGCTCTGCCAGGATGGGATCCCCAATTCCCCCCCATTTCCGGCAACCTAAGCCATCAATATTAAACCCAGTCTTGCCCCACCCCTTCTACAACCAGCAGACTTGGAAGGAGATGCAGATTTTCAAGGTTTGTGCAGTGGCAGTATCGTAGCCAATGAGGTTTATCCGAGGCACAGTTATTGCTAATTGAAAACTTTTCTCAAATGTAGATTTTCAGAGGGGAAGTAAGCTGTCTGGTTAGTTTAGACGGCTCCTTCCACAACATGAATTATTCTTTAGCCTTGGTCATACTCAAGGGATCAGCATCACTTTACAGCCACCATAATCACAAAAATGAAGGCAGGCGCCCTTCCTGGTCACCGTCCCTGGGAGAATGAAGACTGTTCTGCAAACAGGGCTTGACCATAAAAATACAGCTGAGACGCTAAATGAAAATTACACGGCAAAGAGAAATATCAACCTACCTGTTAGACGGAGCTGCGTCTGTATAAACCCCAAATGGAATCAATTTAATGGAATTGAATTGGTTTCATGGCACACTTAGCGATTTGAATGTTTTACCCGGTGCTGATTGGTTTAGAAGCAACACAGGACTCTGAGCGCAGTGAAAATTGGCAAAACTGTACCACACCCTACAAAATAGCGTTTCTCCTCTACCAGTCTCCCACCCTCTCACACTTTTCTCCAATAAGTTTTCTCTTTCTTCTTCGGATATCCAATCATTGAATAATGAACAAAGGCAAACTTCCTTTTAGATTAATTGTAAAAACAGACAATAAGGTTAAATTAAAAACCTTAGCCCGGCCCCTTTGACTATTGTCTTTAATGTTCCTCCTTTATCTCTGCCTTTAAAGTGGCACAAGGTGAAGCTATTCCCATCCCCTCAGTGTGTTTGATTTATTTTAGTGACGTCTTTGCTTTTGCTCTCATGGTGGTTCATCTGGGCCTGAGTCTCCATCTAAATGGCAGATGAGCTGGGTCCCAGCCTGGCTGGCTCATCACCCCTGTGGCCAGGAAGCACCATGACTGTGAGCTTGCACAGGGTCCCCTGCAGTGGCAGTGCATCCTCCCTCATCTGTCACCTTGCCTAGCTCACCAAGCCCAACAGAACTATGATCTTCACTCTCTGATGGTCAAGGACACAGGCCGGCTTTCTGTAGACCCAGCCCTTCTTGCTGGGTCTCCTCCAGGCCTGTGATCCACGGCCTTCTCTCCCCTTCTGCACGTATAAGATGGATCCCTCCCCGTAGAATCAATCCTGGTGTTGAAAGACTTTCTCCTGCAGGTGTTCCCTCATCTGATTCCCTCTGAAGACCCCAGACTCCTGGGTATGCCTATCTTTCCTCTGGTAGGTCGTCTATTAGAGAAGCAGAAACAGGAACCTCCACACAGTAGAGTAGCAGGCTCTAAAACTGGCCTCCTGGAGGAAATACATGTAGAGAATTAACACTATTTGTGTCATAGTCACAATGTGTAAGATACACCCAAGAAGTGACTGCTCTTACCTGATCTCAAAGACAATTCCAATTGGGGGTAAAAATGTATTTTTTTAAATAAGCGTCAATAAGGTCTCTTCGAGTATTCATCCTTCTCCATCAGCATTTTCCTCCCTCTCTAAGAGACTTAATGACCTCCTTCTCTTCCTCAGCAAGTGATAGAATCCCTCAGTTAATCATCATTGAGTTGGACCTTTAGGTCAGGTGATCCCAATGTTACCTTCTGGGTAGAACCGTCAATTCCAAACTCAACATGCACAGAAGGAATAATCCACGCTGTCAGGCCACTGTGCAACATTTTCTTCAGTGGACTAGAGTAATAGGTTAAAGAGCTTTAGTAGAAAGGTATTTATTCAGAATAATCAAAAGACCCTCCTACCCCTTCCGATGTTTGCTAAAAAACAAACTGGTTATAGGGAAAAAACTGGTCTGTCGAAACCCAAGAATATAATAACACTGCCTCTCTTTCCTTGTTTTAGGGAATGCTGTCGATTTTTTGGAGACAATGGCTTGACTTTGAAGGTGTTTTTTACCAAGGCAGCACCCTTTGGTGTTCTTTGGACACTCACAAACTACCTGTACTTACATGCAATAAAGAAAATAAACACTACGGATGTCTCCGTGTTGTTCTGCTGCAACAAAGCTTTTGTGTTCTTGCTCTCATGGATCGTTCTCAGGGACAGGTTCATGGGAGTGAGGGTAAGTTCCTTATTATCTGTCTTCCTCCCTCACTCAGTCATGTCAGCCAAAACCTGCCCATTGGCTTGCTTAGCTCCATGTGCTGGACCATGAGCATAAGCTGCTGGCCACTTTCCTCCTGATTTGCAGCAGAAAAAGAGCCCGGCAGAGGGCCGGTTCTTGGTGTGCCTTGCAAACTTTCTTGCTTGCAAACCATACTAGACAAGCATTCATTAAAGCACCTTTCATTTCAAGCATTTCAACAAGCATTCCCTAAAGTGTGTGCCAGTCGGGGACCCCGCCTGGGAATGGCAACGCGCTCCGCTCTCTGTGCGCTCACCCCTCCACCATGGGCAGCTTCGCAGGGTGCAGTTTGTGGCCTGACTGTGCCCTGCAGCCTGGAGCATTCTGCTAGCATTGTCCCTCTCTGATTAGCGTGTGTGTGAAATACGAAGGCTCCTCCAGCATCCGCGTGTGCATGCGGTCTCAGCCCTTTGCCTGGACCACGTACACACAGCCAGAATGAGCCAGGTACACTCAGGATTCATCCAGGCTGCAAAGGGTCAGTTTCACGTCCTTGCAGACAAAGGGGAAATGAAATTTTATCCCTGTCACTTTACAACCAAGACTTAGTCAATTACATTAAAAGCTAGCCAAATTTAGCTAGTCACGCTTCATAACGGTTGTAGGAAGTAGGGTAGGTGTGCTGTCAAATACCAGCTGAAAAATAGAGGGGTCTCGCCCTGAATAAAAGGAACAGGTGACATTGAGCCTGGACAGTCCTAGTGACTTCTGCCTGGCTCCCTCTGGCGGCCATGAGCTGCTACTACTGCCCCATCTTCACCTTGCTGCAAACCAGCACATTTCACCAGGCAGCTTTTGTAGCTAGAAAGCATCGCTTACTCCTCTTACAAAGCTAAGCCTGTGTATGAGCAGGGCAGACTCGGGGCCCTCTCCCTCCGTCCTTCCCTCACTGTCCTGGAACAGTGACATCACCCTGATGGTAGATTCACGCCCACCTAAGTTACCCAAACAGCGGTGGGGACATGAGTCAACTGCTGAGTTGTATTTTTAATGTGCAGTAGAGGAAAAGTTTGTTTTTGAGCCTTAGTGCTAATTTTAGAATAAAAACTCAATCCCTGTGCTACCACCCAGGGAAGCTTTCAGCAAATAAATGACCTAAGACATCATCTACGAGAAATGCCGATAGCTCCGGCAGTAACCCCCCAACAGGCTGCCTGGCTCCACGCTAAAGACGGGAACATCCCAGGCCTCCATGCCGCTGATGCCGCCCGTCTTCACTTTGTTTGATGCAAAGAGCTGAATACACGGAACTTTGGGATATGATTCTGATGTCTCCAACAAGTTCCAAATGAGAGGAGTGTCGAGGTTAATTCTGCTTCTAGCACAAGAAAATAATTTTTTTCAGGTTAAAGAGAAGGAGGTGTGGAAAAATACTCACAGGCTCACAGAGAGCAATACGGTATTTCTAGATCTTTTCTTTGTGACCACCCTGCACAGATGAGAGATGAGACACAGCATCCCTGGATGATGACCTAGTCTGGCCCTGCTGGCCACTTGATTGGTTTGGTCTGTGCTGACCGCTGTATACTGAGCAAAGTTTCTGGTGAAAGTCTTTGGGCCTGAGCTAGCTCTGAAATGGAGATCCAAGGGGCCAGAGTTGGGGATGGAGTTGTGTCACTAGCAAAGCACTGTGTAGGGCAGGTCTCTGTGATAATCGGTACTCCTCTTGGATATACGTGGCCATATGGAAGAGCTCCCCCTAGAGTTGGGAGGCATTTCCCTCCTCTTTTCTTCAAGAGTTCAGAGTCAGCAAAATCCATGAGATACCCGCAGCTTGCCAGAAGCAAAGTTTCTCCTTGATAAACAGGTGGAGATTAAGGTCCAAATTGGCATCTGACTGATGCATGGGCTCGCTCAGACTTCACTCAGAACGCTGGGGTAGCTAGCACCTTCCACCAGGTAATTTCCAAAACTTGGGGAGGACTGAGCAAACTTGATATGAACTTGAGAGTTGCCCGTGAAAACCACCATGCAGGCTCAGCCTAACACATGTGAAACATGGCACAGGAGATTGGCATTATTAAGGCAGTTACTCAAACCACAAGGGCTGTGGTTCCTGGAGGACATCCGCAGGTCCAGGTCACACAGACAGATGCAGATAGAAGCAAATGTGTCTGTCCTACGATGCTGTGTGATCCCAGACACTTAGAGCATCGGAATGTGACAAGCTGTAGGAGTGTCTATTCACAAGGAGCCCAAACTGGCCTGGGTGTCAGTGTCTGTATACAAGTCCTGGCTCTCCAGGACAGAGGTCCTAGTGCACAGCGAGGTGCTCCAGGCTAAGGATCTTGGTTCTGCTCTCATTGGACTTTGAACAAGTTACTAAACATCTCTGAGCCTTGGTTACTTCATCTTCAAAAGGGGCAGAATATTTGTATCCATCTCACTGACTAGTTGTGAGAATAAAATAAGATGATGCCTGCCTGGCACATAAAACTCAGCAATGTTCTGTTTTCTCAATGTTCTTATTCTTACAATTCCTTCTTTTAGAAGGGGTTGGAGGACCAGCCCAATTTTTCTGTTGGGGAGGCAGATTTAGGGAGGCAGTTTTGGATGGCAGAAGCAACTGTAGGGTGAAAGTGGGTAGAGTCTTGGGTGCAGGACGCCCACCTAGCTGTGGTCAGATGCCCCAAGACCACCCCAGTCTCCCAGTCAGAGGAAGTGGAAGGTGAGATTCTCTAATTGTTCAAGACCATTCATAACCACCCATCACCATGAGGGCTTTCAAACCAGCAGGGGCAGAGGAAGGAGCAAGGATCCACCTGGGTCCTTTTTCCAAGATCAGTTCCCATCTCAATCAGATTCTAGCTGATGTTTCTAACAATCAAAATTGTTCCCAGTGTTTCAACAGGAGCCATCCCTGAATAGTACAGCATTGGATCCTGACCCCCCTTTGTGTGGGAGGCTGTCCCCTGCAACCTGAGCCCAGCGCTGGGGAGGACACAGGGGGCAGGGAGCTGATAGGGCTCAGGGTCCAGGCCTCTCTCCACTTGGACATAGGAAGAGTGGACAAGAGGGTCTCTTGATTCTTCCCAAACTCTAATATCCCTTGAGTTGGCGATAGCAGCAGAAGCTGGGAGGAAAACAGCTGGGGGAGAAAATGTACTTAAAAATCATTCAGTCCAAGCGCAGTGGCTCATGCTTGTAATGCCTGCACTTTGGGAAGTTGAGACAGAAGGATCACTTGAGGGCAGGAGTTCAAGACCAGCCTGGGCAATAGCGAGACCCCATCTCTACCCTCACACACACAAAATAAATGAATGACCAGTCCTTTCTTTTCCTTCTGTAAAATGGCCTCAAACTGTACAAATCAAAAAGCATCTACGTGGGGTTCTGTCTGGCAGAGAACTTGCAGCCCGTCACAGTTTTCCCAGCATGAGAGAGAAATCCCAGTCTGAAAGGTGGGGTTTCTACTAACCCTCCTTGTCTCTCCAGATGGCTTGAGGGTTCCCCCCCTTTCCCTCCATAGAGTAGTCACTGTACAGGAGGGTGCATTGCTCACTAATGCCAGGGTGGCTGGGACTCTACACCCAGAGCCCAGGGAGCCCCGTGGGTTATGACAGTGAGTCCCCATGCCAGGTGAGGACATGAAGATGCTAAAGCAGTGTCTAGGCCTGGGTACCCTTCAGGGTACTGTTGCTTCCTTGTCACCAATGAGTTGTTCCCCAGATGAAGTAGAGACGGTGGCTGTCACCAGTTTCAGACCACTATTCCCTGTCAGTCCGTGTTTCAGGATAATTCAGTGGAGAGCAGGGGGACAGGGGAAAAGGGCACAAGCCTGTTGTCCTTGCTGTGTACACAGACTCAGCGCCCTCTCCAGGGACGTCTGGAGGGAGGAGGTGCACGTGGAGCTTCGAACTTGACCGGCCTTCCTTCCAAAGCGTTCCTTTTAGGAAATAGGCAAGGAAATACCTTCCTGTGAAAACTCGGAAGCTCAGATTGTTAGGATGTAAAATGTAAAATATGCACTTAATTTTTTTTAAAAGACAAAACTGGAACCTTCAAATGAATTTTATGCTAAGGAAGAAGGACGCTTGGGCTCTGCCCCCAAAGCTGCAGGGCACGCTTCCAGCCTTTTGTGCTCCGAGGGGAACTGAGAGCAAGGTGGGAGCTCCCAGCACTCGGGGGTGGGGGGGAGGGGTGTGCTGATGACTAGGGGGTGGGGGACCCACAGCCAGGTATGTCGACCCTGAGGCTTGTGGCTGGGACCCCCAGAGAAGACCAGGAGGTGTGGATGAGGGGATCTCCATCCCCGGCCCACCTGCCGCAGTGACCTGAAGGGGCAGCCGGACTCCCTGGTGTTTATCTCCTTGGCTGACCGAAAGGTCAGTGGCCAGCCATGCACACACACACACACACACCCTGCCTCTTCCCCCAGCTCCTCTCACACCTCAGCTCAGCCAGGAGCTTTTAGCCATTTATTATTTAATCAATAGAGAAGAGAGAGGAAGAGGTTGGAAATCTGCCCTGCAAAGCTTCAGAAAAGAATAGCCCCTGTTCCCCTGCATTAAGTTTGGAAAGACTCAAGTGCCAAATCATTGAGATTTTGCTGTTCTCTCCCCTCCCCTCTTTCCTCCTAGTTCTCTTCCTCTTTCTCGCCGGTACCTCTGATGCTGCCCGGGCTGACCCGTTCCTCGCAGCATCCGTGCCTCCGTTTCTCTGGAGCACAAAGCACCCCTTCCCTGCCTGCTTCTTCCCTTTCCCCCCTTATCCAGTTGGTGGCGCAGGGGGCGGGAGTCACGGCTCCCTTACTATCTCGCTATGTCTGTCTCTTTCTTTTAATGAGCAGTGGACGCAGTACACGTAGCACTGAACATGAATGATATGCAGATAGGTGACGCAGAACAACGCCTTACAAATGAATTTCTAAACCAGGAGGGACAAGTAGGCAGATGGGGCCGCCACTTCTCTAGTACCTCATAACCATCTGCTCTGGCCAGGGCCACCGTGTCCCAGGCACTATGTGGAAATACCACATGAGCTTTGCACTAGGAGAAGCATATACCTTCTCCCTGTGCGTGGGATTCAACCACATGACTTTTTACTAATCCAAAAATGTTATGTTTAAGCCACTCCAGGAGTATAGTTGGCAATAGCTCGCTATGGGACTCATACTTTCCTGTGTACATACACAAGCACCAACTTTGCGAACAGACGGACTTGAAATGCATGTCTCTGTTCTTCCATGCAACAGCTGTGTGACTTTGAGCAAGTTACATAACCTCTCTGAGCCTAGGTTTTCATGTCTAGGAAAGGAGGGAGGGTGACAATATCTACCTGTTTTTGAGGCTCAGAGGAAAAATCTAGAGAAAACACTTACCCTCTGGCCCCTCAGTAATGTGAGTTATGTGGTATTGTCACAGGTAGCTGAAGTCAACTTTGAGCGCTCCATAAAGGGATAAAGTCTCAAGGCAGGCCAGTGGTTGAAACTTCTGCCATATACATTTGTTCTGCTGACAACTCCCACTCCCCACCTCCCTCCCCGAGACACTGATGCAGCTCCATGGCTACCTGTGTTTATTCTCTGTGTTGGTGCATTTTTCTCCTTAGGGTAATACCGTCCCAGAAAGTTTACTTCCTATTTATTCACGCGTAGCAATTTTACTTTGCACAGCAGTACTGTGTACATCTCCCCAGAGCTCCCCGTGCCACTGAGGAGTCAGTAGCTGGACGATAATAAGATTGAGGACAGTTGCTGGGGCTGGGGCTAGGGGCAAAAGGCCTGCAGCTGCTAAGGACAAGGACAGCACCTCCAGGGCTGGAGCGTTGTTCGGAGCCCTGATTGGCAGGTGACATTTTGTCAGGCCCCACAGCTGGCACGGGAAAAGGGGACAAGACCTGCTGCCCTCATGGCCCCTTCCCTGTTGAGATATAAAGACAGGGTCACACAAGGTGGTTTCAGAGGTTGGGGAAGAACTCAGGTCCTTTCTGGTCCCCGCACAGGGGTTGTCTACCAGGCCCTGTCCTGACCAGCTACCCATCATCACTGCCTTCTCAAGCTCCCCAGAATCCCAGGGACCGGCCACCACCTGGTGCTAAGTTACTCCTTGCTGGCAGCTGTCTCTGGCTCTCCCGTCATGCCGCCCTTTGCTAAGTGCCCCCTTTAAACAGCAACAAGAAATCTAGACGGGTGTAGCCTTTGCCTAGTCCCCTCCCAAGGAAGCCTGGAAAGGGGACCCCGCTCACCGCTCACATGGCTGAACCCCACATGTGTTTCAGCTTTTTGGCCCTTGCATCGTCCGTCCGACTCGCCACCACTACCCTGACCGTCTTTTTCTTCCCTCCGTTCAGATTGTAGCCGCCATCCTCGCCATTGCTGGCATCGTGATGATGACCTATGCTGACGGCTTCCACAGCCACTCTGTCATCGGCATCGCGCTGGTCGTGGGCTCCGCGTCCATGTCTGCCCTCTACAAGGTACGGGTGGGAACGCTCCTCCGCCAGGGCGCTCGGCCTCCGACGGCTGGTGCTTCCTACTTTGGGGGAGGTTCTGTTGGTTCCTGTGTGCTTAGAGACAAGTAGCTGTTTTCTTTTCTTTTTCTCTCTCTCTCTTTTATTTTTTTTTTTTTTTGAGAAAATGTCTCTGCTACCTCGTATAGAGTGCCATGGTGTCATAGCTCAGAGCAGCCCCATGCTCCTGGGTTCAAGAGATCCTCCTGCCTCAGCCTCCCAAGTAGCAGGGACTACAGCCAACTGCCACAACGCCCGGCTAATTTTCCTATTTTTAGTAGAGACGTGTCTGCTCTTGCCCAGGCTGACAAGTTGCTGTTTTCAATGCACATGAGGCAGATAGAGACTTCCACCTAGGGCCACTGGACATGCGTGGCTGCTCTGGGTTTGGGCCTCTGGGCATTTGCATCCATGGCCAGGTGAGTGTAGCACTTGAGATAAAGCAGGTGGGTAGGCAGAGTCAGGTTCCTGCCTTCACTGCTTGGACAGGAACTGGAGAAGAACCGGGGGCTCGAGTGTCTGTCTCTGTGTTTGCTCAGATGAGTTCCCACCTGGGAGCCTCGTGGGCCTGCAGACTTAGACATCGGACGCAGCTTTGTTCTGCAAATCTTTACCCACACAGTTTCTGCAGCTGTCAGTGCTAAGTCTGGATCCATATGCATTTCAAGCACTGCCTTGTAGACTAAATACATAAAGGCACAACTGCTACTATGGAATTATCAAAGATTTTTGACAAAATGTTGGGAATCGTCGGAAAGCACTTCCCAGATGCAGGTATAGAGGAAACAAATTTTTATCCTCCTAACCGGGTGCTTCATCCTGCCCAGCCCTTCCTGGATGCAGCCCTCCGGCTGCTCCCTCCCCTCACCTCCTTCCCTCTCCTCTCTCCCTCTCCTTAGATCCACGGGAGAGAACGCAAATACAGTCAGGTCCCCAAGTTGGAAAACTGACCTGGAGGACTCGATGAGAAGTGAGATTTTGGCTGTGAGACTTACCTGCCATTTGTGGTGGACTCAGACAATAGGGAAGAGAGAACTAAGTTCTATACAAAGTCATAAAAAGCGGCTTCTTCCCCCCTCTGGGAGGGCCATGTGTTACAGTTTGGGGAAAGTGAGATAACTCTACCTTCTTATTCCCCGTCCGTTCCCTGGCCTCCCTGCCCACCTAGGAAGACATACACATCATTGTTTTCCTCTGGAACACCCGTCACTGAGGTGATCTGATAATTGAGCATCATTCTGAGGCTTCAAAGCCACTGTCCAATGTGGAAAATATTACAAAGCTACACCCCACTGTACTCAATCAGCTGTGTGCTCATGAGGAGCAGAGAGCGTGTAGAAACACGGTCCACGCCAAGCACAGTGCGCTGTGATTCCTGTCTCCATTGCCCCTGCTGCCTACGATTTATCCAGAGGGACTTCTAGGTGGGAGTCTGATTACTTCCTTTTTGGTACTTACTGCACATACACCAGGAGACAGCTGAGCACACACTGAGGAAGCAGGAGAAGGGGGTAGGGACAGCCATGCAGGGCCTCAGACAGGCCACAGGCCACCCCGGGGGAGGGACAGCAATGCAGGGGCTCAAACAGGCCACAGGCCACCCCGGGGGAGGGACAGCCATGCAGGGGCTCAGACAGGCCACAGGCCACCAGACACAGAAGCTACTCTTAGTTCTGCTTCTGGCCACTCGCATCACATTCGTCCCTCTCCTCCCAGCCTGCCGAGGACCTGAAATGATGTACAAATAAAAAAAGATTCAAGAAAATAAGTGTGTGGTGCCTCCCACTAAAACCATCCCTGGAAGGGAGGTGAGTGGATGGCAAAGAGATGACAAAATCTCTCACCTCCACTAAATAGAAAACATCTTTTTTTTT